GCCATGTGATAATCATTGACCTTATAGATGTCTATATTAGGAAGGTGGGTAGTTAATTTGAAAGTTATCACAACAAGATTACCCATATTTGAGAAGACTTTTATTATTATGCTTAATTTCTTTCATTTCTTGTAGGCAACTTGCAATCAAGTGAAGAAATTATCAACATTGTGAAAAATTAATTATTCAGAGAGATTGACAAAGCTAGAGAATGAATTGGCCAAGGAATTATTTCAGAATAGAGAATTTGGACCTGTAATTTCATGAATTGTGGTAAGCATTGTTACAGGACCATTATCTATCCATAAAAGAGCCAAAACTTCATCAACCACAACTCCAGAAAGTGTATTCTAAAATAAGTCTGTCCTCACTTTTGGTTTCAAAACACTAGGAAATTTTGCTGAATTTTTACAAACTGTACCACAAAGCATTGTTACAGGACCATTATCTATCCATAAAAGAGCCAAAACTTCATCAACCACAACTCCAGAAAGTGTATTCCAAATTAAGTCTGTCCTCACTTTTGGTTTCAAAACACTAGGAAATTTTGCTGAATTTTTACAAACTGTACCACATGCACCAATTCCTCTATCCCTCAAGTATTTGAATTAATTGATGCTTGTAAAGTAATTATCCATGTATATATTAAAAGTTCTATTAGCTGGTAAATTTTTTACTAAATGAACAACTTCATTACCAATCTCTTGTTTGGGGCCGCCCATGTAAAAATGGTAATCCTTTTTTACAAAAAAGAAGTGAAATCAGTGGAAGAATTTTCTATTATGCAAAAAACCAAATTTTGACCCTTGTTAAAAACATCTTTGCAAGTTTTAATGGTCAAAGTTTGCACCATGTAAAATCTGATTGGTTCCCACAATGACTAATCACGTTAACCAATTTAACACTAAATACTGATGTAAGATAAAAATTTTTTTTATACAATCTAAGTAACACCTCTTATTTCTCTGATCAATATCATCCAAACCCATATTCTCTCTTTGGGACCACCCATGTAAAAATGTTAATTCTTTTTTACAAAAAAGAACTTATCTTCAAGTGAATAAGAGAGAAAAAAAGTGATTGATGAAATGGAACTTCTATGGATAAAAAAGTTAAAACCAAATTTTGACCCTTGTTAAAAATGCCCTTTGAAAGTTTTAATCAAAGTTCACACCATGTAAAATCTGATTGATTCCCATAATAACGAGTAGATATTAAAAAAATACTGGTTTATTGTGTGTATTTTGTTTTATCAAAGCATTGTCTTAACAAGTTGGTTCTGGCTGACATGCATATATTAAAAAAAAATTTAATTAATATATAATAATTTCTGCTGATCAGTATATTTGTGTACATGTATATATAGCCCCCTTTTATTGGAATATTGTTATTATTATTATAAAATTTCACTATCAATTTCCTCCCTCTTTCCTTTAATTTTGAAATGTTCTCAGGATTATTTTATTATTTATTTATTGTTTTGTTGTCATTTCTTTATTTTTTTTATTTTATTAATAATAATTTTATGTACTTGCTTATTTCTTTAGTCGAAAGGCTTTCTTGGAAATCAGCTAAGTTTTTTTTGTATTGTTTTTTATTATATTGTTACATTGTTCACATTTTTCATCATTTCTTTTATAAAACTTTTTTTTTGTAGTTCTTTGATCCTGCTTTTCTCTTGTCAGTTCTCTTTTCTCTCAGTAAGAGTAGAACTGTGGACTGATACCCTTTTGAATTCCTTTTAATCCCCACTTCTGATCTTTTTGATCACTGGATTTGATCACTGGTTAACATTAATTTTATAAAATTTTAAATTTTCCCTTTCTTGTTCCAAGTTTTGTTCAATTATCATTTTCTTTCTTTTTACTGGTTTCTTGGCAATTCTTCCAGTTTATCAAAAGAATTACCATTGTTAGCTAGGAGGTGCCACCATTTGGTAAGTTTTTATAATATTTTCATAATCCTGAGAACACAAATTATAATTTTTAATAATAAAATAAATTTTTTAATATTTGTATTTATTGATTTGTATTTTATTGATTTGTATTTATTGATGTTTATAAAAATAAAAATGCAATTATTATAATTATTGGTCGTGAGCAAAATAATTTGCAATAAAATAAATTTGAATGATCAATTCGTAGTAATATATAAAAAAAATTTTTTTTGTGAAAACAATTATAATCATGTATTTTTCCGCAAAAATATCCACAATTTTGCGCAGCATCATGAGAATATCCAATTTTATTGGTGGGTTGGGTGCATGCTATCCTTATTTAGAAATCGATTTGGCGATTGCGGATATTTTTTGTGGATAACTATATATGATTTCCGTATAATATTGATTAATAATAGTCTGGGATTTTACCATAATCGGTATGTGAGATGATCTTACCATATGCAATCTGGAATTACCATATCGGTATTAGTGATGATCTTTTACCATAAAAAATGACTCAGAATATTTAAACATTTTAATTTCAAAAAAAAACAACTTGAATTTAAATATAAAAACTATATATATTGATACAGTTTGATAATAAAAAAAGAAAATTTTTATTTATTTATAATATTGTAAAATAGTAAATTATAAATCATGGGAAACTAATATATAAATCAGAGATGATTCACAAAGTTACACACAAATAAATCAGAAAAACTGATCAAGTGATCAAAACAGTTCAATTTATTCAAACACCAATAATAATAGAATAATTGACTCATGGAAATATTGGAAATATAAATATTCCAACATTCTAAAATGTAACAGATGACCAAATCTCAGAACAAAAGAATTTTACATGACTCATGTTGACTAGAAAATAATTCTACATGGAAGGTTTAAATAATGATGAAAGAATACATTAATTAATATAATTTAGGATATTAAAGAAATCAGAGAACTAGATGATAGAACCTCTAAAATGTATAAATACATTGTAAATTTCTCTTTCATGTAATCTTTAATTTTTTAATAAACTCAAAGTTATTTAGTTAACTCTGAAGTTTTTATATAATAATATTATAATAAATAACACTGTCCTTGTCCTTGTCCTTGTGGTCTTCAAACATTATATTTTCATAATGATAATAAATCTATCCCTAATGACGAATTTATACTAATCCCGTGCATAATTATTTTCTCTTATTTTATATTTGTTTCTATTATTTTTATTATTTTTTATTTCTTTTCTTTTCTTTTAGTAGGTAAAATAATCAACCTTATTTAGTAGTTTTAGAGACGTACCTGACTTGGTATATGGCAAAGAGGAAAACGGCTAGGAGGGCACCCACCAAGAAATGTGATCAGGATATATAGTGTAAAATCTAAAAAAGATATTGATTACTATTTCCTAGTACAAGAAATTTAATGATAATAAAAGATAGTTTTGAGAGTAAAGACTAGTGCCGTAATCCAAAAAAGGAAAAAGTATGGTTGCAAAGGTAATTGCAACCACTTTTTATATGCCGTAAATACAATTACTACCATCATCATAATTTACGGCACTTGTCTTTATTTGAGAGTAAAGCATAAATATTATTTTAACCAAATCAATAGATTTGTGTGAGACGTGTATTTTGATCTCACACTATCTCTTAAACGGTCAGAGTATTCTCTAATGGTAACACAAATTAAAGTTTTGATCATTCTCATTGGTCAATTTAACAATCAGCAAAGTAAAAACAGTCAATCGACCAACCTTTAAAGAGGATTTTACAAAAACCACAAGGACAACAACTGGATTTTTATTTATAGATTAATTGGCTGAATCTCAAAGATCATTTTTGTATTAGAAAGTGATGCCTTCAGAAAAAAATTTTTATATCAGAAAAATTTTATCAGCTATCAATAGCCTATTAACTGTTTAAGGGATAAAATTGTTAATGATTATAGTCACATTGCAAATGACTAAATCTTGATCCCTGAAATTCTTGGTAATACCAAGTGTTCACTTTGTCTGATTTTGTTGCAGTATGCCCCAAATTAGAACATTTTATTTTTAACTTTTGGTATATATTAATGTATTTATTGTGTGAGATTTGAGACTTTTGCCAGACCCACTCCTAAAATCTCAGCTAATATTAATGACATCATGTGATACAAATAATTTATTCAAAAGTCTAGAAGAAAATGATTTAATATTTATTTATTTATTCAGTTATTCAGAGAGTGTATCATCAAGTAAATGATATCAATTTTCTTAAAAGAAAATAATTATGATTTTGTCTAATGGAGAGCCTAAAGTACGAAATTTATATTACTGTATTAGAAGAACAAGGTTTGTGGAAAGATGGGTTGTTAAAAAATATAAGGAATGTAAAAATCATACACAGGTTTTTGAAGGTGTTTATTGTTGTACATATCAAATTTTATCTGATTTCAATTAGAAATAATATTTTATTCAAATATCACTGTGAATTAAACTACATCAAAAGTCTTTGGGGTGCAGTTAAATAAAAGTCATGCTAGAAAGAATTACAGGTAACAGTCCCAGTTGCATTAAATTTGTAATATTAGAAAATTTACAATAAGACTTCCAAGAAGAGTGGCTGTACAACAATATAAATCTCATAGGAATTTGTATTAATGGATATGGAAACAATAGCAAAATTCAATTTGTAAAAGAACTGTGACTTGGTCACATGAATAATAGATAAATTGCAGTTTAGATGGTTGCCAACAACATAGCAATAGTAATCTTAACCATCATAAACTTTTTTTTTTTTTTTTACTAAAAAACTTTTGGCAAAATAGCTCATATTTAGTGAAGTAACAGCACTCAAAGATTGGTAACATTTTGTCTTTACTATAGAAATGTTTACTTTGTTGCAGTATGCTCCATGTAATTAGGACTGGAGAACTGACGGTCCATCTCGGTCTTTTATTATACAAAAATGGACCAATTACTTTTGGTAATAAGAAGAGCATTCTTTTTTACTAAATTAGTAACGAGGATCATTTTAAAAATTTTTTGAAATCTAAATTAAAAAAAATAAAGATGACACAAGACGATAAAGATTTAGATATATTTAATTCATTAACTCAAACTACCCAAGATTCATCGTTTTCTGACAATGATGAAAAATCATTCATCTCTAAACAAATACAAGCAAACAATAGAAAAAAGAAAAAATCCGGTGGTTTCCAGTCAATGGGTATTTCTTTAATCAATATATACGTGAAAAATTGGTTGATTGATCAATAAATTTTTTACCTTATAATAAAACGATAGGATTAAGTTATCCTATATATAAAGCTGTATTGAAAAAAGGATTTAAAGTTCCAACTCCTATACAACGCAAAACAATTCCTTTAATAATGGAAGGTAACGATGTTGTTGGTATGGCTCGAACTGGATCTGGGAAAACTGCTGCCTTTTTAATTCCAATGTTAGAAAAATTGAAGATACATTCTGCAAAGGTATTTTAAGATAAAATGCATGCATAGATTTAGATATGTTTATTAATCAATAACAAAATATTAATTATTCAATTATTTTAGGTAGGAACAAGGGCTATAATATTGTCTCCATCACGTGAGCTTGCATTACAAACACAAAAGGTCTGTAAAGAGCTTGCAAAATACACTGATATTAGGGCATGTATTCTGGTTGGAGGTGATAACCTGGAGGATCAATTTTCAATGATTCTCGGGAACCCTGATGTGTAAGCATTTAAATATTTGGGGGAGTTATAATACTTCATCTAGATTAATGATATAACCAAACTTATTATATCATTAGTATTATTGCCACTCCAGGTCGTTTACTTCATTTAATTGTGGAAATGAATTTAGAACTTGGTGCAGTTGAATATATAGTTTTTGATGAAGCTGATAGGTTTATATTAATATTCGATATGATTTTATATTCTGATATATATCCTAATACATACATATATTTAATTACTATAAAGATTATTTGAAATGGGTTTTTCTGTTCAACTACATGAGATTTTACATAGGTTACCACATACACGTCAAACATTACTTTTCTCTGCTACTTTACCGAAATCACTGGTAGAGTTTGCAAGAGCAGGTCTTCAAGATCCTACTCTAGTAAGACTGGATACTGATACCAAGATTAGCAGTGATTTAGAGGTATCATTATTTTATAATTTTTTGAGGTATTTTATATTTATATTATATCAGGAATGTAATATTTAATTTTTGTAATTTATAGATGGCATTCTTTTCAGTAAAACAGACAGAAAAAGAAGCAGCATTATTGTATACATTACATGAGATAATTAAAGTACCAACTGAATCCATATTTAATATAAAAAATAATGATAATAGTAATCTGAAAAAAAAATCAAATAAACAAAAAAATCAAGAATCAAAATCCGCATCAAAGGAATTACTATTGTCATCATCACATCAAACAATAATTTTTGTTTCAACAAAACATCATGTTGAATACATTTCGAATCTTTTAATTTCAGCTGGATTCAAAACTTCATATATTTATGGTTCGCTTGATCAAACAGCTCGAAAAATTCAAATAAGTAATTTTCGTAATGGCCAAACCAATCTATTAGTGGTGACTGATGTTGCGGCCAGGGGAATTGATATCCCAATCATAGAAAATGTGATCAACTATGATTTTATTAATAGTAGTAAAGTATTTATTCACAGAGTCGGAAGAACTGCTAGAGCTGGCAAAAGTGGATGGGCATATTCATTAATTACCCATGATGAAGTATTTGCAGATTAATTTTTATAATTTTAATTTTATAATGATACTTGTACAATATATATATATCTAAATTTTTTAATTTATTAGTTTCCATATCTGTTAGATTTACAACTTTTTCTTAGCCGTCGTTTGATAATTGGCATGAAGAATGAAGATTATGATGCTTCCTCATTGGATTATACTAAAGATATAATTTTTGGTTGTTTTCCTCGTGGCTCTTTGGATATACATTTGGAATGGGTCAAAGAAAAGTTGCAAGGTGAAAGTAACCTTGAATCACTTCAAAAGGTTGCCAAAAATGGATACAAGTTGTATTGCAAATCAAAACCCATAGCTGCTTCAGAAAGTTATAAAAGAACTAAGGAGCTTGTTGAAAAAATGGTTTTCACTGAAGTTCATCCTCTTTTTGGTTAGGTTCTCATATATTAGTGATCACAATCTGCTATTTTTTTTTTGTCAATAATAATTATTTTTTTTATTAAAAATAGTTGATAAAGTTGATCCAAATGAAAAAGAATGTCAGAATCTCATTAAAAAAATATCAAACTTTCGTCCACATGAGGTTAATCATTTATTAAATGTGTGCAAGTACATTTTAAATTTATGTCTAATTAATTTCCACTAAAAAAACTTATAGACTATATTTGAAATGGGAAGTCGAGGAAATAAACAATCTATGGGTGCTCAAATTATGAAGAAACGTCATGATGCTTCTTCAAAAAGAAAATCTGATGAATTTGATATTAAGAAGGAAGAAGAAAATAATGTAAAAAATAAATAAAAAAAATATTTTTTTTTTGTAAAAAAATTTTAAATTTATTTGCTTTATAATAGAATAATTCAAAGACATCAAAGCGGAAGGCTAACAGTGATGTTGATAAAAAATGTATGTTACCTAAAAGCATTTATTTTACATATGTTTTTATTATTCATCATTAATTTCCTTTTTTCTAAATATATGTAGCAAAGAAATCAAAAATTGACAATTATCGTGATGAAGAACATTATATATCACATTATCAAAAAGATGCAAACACAGAAAAAGGGTATTTATGATTTAATCTTTACAATTAATAATATTAAAAAAAATTATTAATAATTGTTATTATTATAATTTAGTTATTCAGTGAACCAGGGTGCATTATTTATTGAGGAAGCACAAAGAGCCATGTTAGATCAACAGAATGATGAACATGTTCCTGAATTAAACAAAAGAAAGGTTTTAACATGGAACAGTAAAAAGAAAACATTTTTACGAGGTGGTGGTATTGGATCTGACAATAAAAAATTAATCAAAACTGAAAGTGGTGTAAAGCTACCTGCTACTTATAAAAGTGGAAGGTTAGGTTTATGTATTAATTATTTTTTTTTAATTAATTTGAATTGAAATTAAAATTTCTTTTATTTTTAGATTTAATGATTGGCGACAAAAAAATAAAGTTTCAATGCCTCGAGTTGGTGAAAAAGAACTTTTATCAGCATCTTCAGTATCATTTTCATCATCTAAACCTAAATTTACTAAAAAATTTAAATCAAAATCAAAATCAAAATCTAATTAATTATTTCTTGACATGGAAAAAATCAAAAATAAAATGAAAATTTATATAGCACACATCATTTATAAACATCAATTTTGGTGGCTATCTTTAAAGGTTTCGAATCACGTGATATGTAAAATTATATCCAGTCAGGATTTATATTATATATTTATCCGATTAAAAAGTAGTTGAAGTTGTTTTAAAAAAACAGACTAGTTCTAAATGCCATGTCAAAAACTCTTACTGACCAGGAACTCAGAAGACAGTTTCAAACGCTAAGTCGCGATCAATTAGAAAACTACTTGTTTCAGGTACATTTTCTTACATCAAACAAAGCCTGTTAAATTTAGCCTATAGGCACTCATATATGATGTCTCTTATTTTCAATAAAGGAACAGACTCCAATGTTTCTGGTACTGTTTTCTTAAGACCTTTAAATGAGTGGTTGTAGTGGTTATATCCATTGATTATCCAGGTGTTCAAGTACTTACTTGGTCAATCAATACTCAGATAATTAGTCAATTAAAATATAACATCCTATATAATCAATGCTTACTTGATTATTCACTGAATATCTGCTGAATAAGCTCCAAACGAATTGATGAAATTGATCACCTAATTTTGATTCAAAATCTTATAATAATTTGCTGCTGTTCACAAAAGGTCATCCATTAGCCTCATACAAGGCTATGTCAAAAACTCATTTTAGTAAGATGTTTACTATTGACCTTCTAATTTTTATCTTCTTTGTTATACACTTTACCCATCTTAATGATCAGTAGCCAAACAAACTATCCACTCATATAATAGTAAAATACGTGTTATGTCTACCCTTGATAAAAATAATTAATTAAATTATTCGTGGTCTTTTAACTTTCTTGTGTATCCTACATTGACAAGTTATAATATGGAGTATTCTGCATATTATCATGATGAAATTAACCTTTTATTCTACTATAGGATAATTTGGTACTCATTTTTTTAAAAAATAACAAAACATATACTGCATATGTACACATATACTTTACAAATGAGACTTGCTACATTTACAAGAATGATTTTTTACCCTAATAATGTCAAATTGCTTGAATTGAATGAATATGACAAAGCATTGAACCAAAATGATATATTCCAGTTATTCCAATTGTTGTAAATGGCACTAGTGAAACTGGGTCAGGTAAACATTATTACTATTATTTTTATAATATACACACACATATAAATATACTTACTTATTTAGGTTATAGTACTAATTATAATCCAAACTTTGAAATGAATGATTAAATGTGATGAATTTATTGGTAATTATATAATTTTTTCTTAATATCCTTTTCTTTTTATTATTCCACAGCTATTTATGTAAACAATTGACAATAATTGTTATTATTTTAAGTGAAATGGAAAATTTTGATAAGAACAAATATATATCCTATGGTATTATTATTAAAACAAATGATTGATTCATATTAAGCTCATCATGAGCCAGCTTGTGAACTTATTTAAGTTATTTGGCTTGTAGGCCAGCTTACATGGAGCTTTAATTCACTTGTACAAATTCCGAATTACCAGTTTGTAAATGAAGTGAAGACTATAAGTTAACTCATAAACAAATGGAAATTTTGAAAGAGAAAGACATTTCAAGTTGTAAAATAAAATATGATTGCTTTGACTTGAATAAATCTTTCAATAAAAAATTAAATTTGCCCTCAAGTATTTGGGCAACTTTAGTTACTAAAAGAAGTAGTTTTAATTGGTAACAGTGTATATATAGTTCATATATGCTGTTATTATAATCACTTTTTACAAGATCAGAATCATCAAGCGGTGTTGAGAATTCAATTGACACGTGATACAAATTTGTGACTCAACCAATCAATTTTTCTAAATTCCATATTTATTAAATTATCTCTGCCACCATAAAATAAATAATGCTAATCTTGATTAATAGAGTTATTGTGAAAGGAAGGGTCTTCAAACTTCTGAAATTTTCCATGATGTACTTTTAAAAAAATATATATATAAATTATTATTAAGATTTATTATGGCTAAACTTTTAACACTAGTGAATGATAATATCCAATTAATTTTTGTAATTCTGAAATATTTTCACAATCCCAACCAAGTAATAATTTAAGTGATATATCAATTATCTTCATAAATATTGAGGTTGTTTCCTGGATATTACCATTGATAATATAGATTTTTTACCAAACAATAAATATATTATAATTTAACCAAATTATTTAACAAGAAATTTTGCAAAACTCATAAATTTAATAAAAAAAAATCAATTAAATAAATTAAAGAATTTGTGTATAAAAATACCTTTTGGATTTGTTATAAGTGCTAAAGCTACAAACAAATTAATTTTTTTATTTATGTCTGGTAGTAATGACAATGTGGCAAAACATAGTGCTGAACCTTGTAAAAATCCCATACATATAAACGAGTGACTTTGCATCAATAACTTCTAAAATATAATTAATCGTGTCTGGCAAGCCATAATGAATCAATTCATCCATAGAATAATTCCAAAATTTATTATCATTTGGATATTCAACATGTTTCATTGAACATTTATCTCCTCATGAATTACCAAACCAAACATCATATCCAGCATCAGCCAATAAACAAGCTAAGCTATTTTCATATTCAACACTACATATACAAATCTCATTACAAAGTCATCAGTCCCTGCCATAATAATGCTACAAGTTTAACATGACCCTTTGAAGTAATACTACTATTATCATTACTAATTGATGATGATTTGGTAGCAGTTGCTGGTGAAACATTATCATCTTGTTCATTATATATTACATTGGATAAAGGTATATTGAACTGTTTAAATATGTCTTCAATGCTTAATTCATCAGAAGTTAAATCATTATCACCATTAATTCTTTGAAAGTAATTACCATTAGATAACTTTTTACCATTTGATATATGCTAAGCACTTAATATATGATTATCATGTTTTATTGTATGTTCTTCTACCTCATGCCCTATTTGATAAAATCCATTATTTAATTATAATGCATAAAATTTTTTAAAAATAAATGAACACACTGCACCCCCATCTTACCAAAAATTCTTTAATTCTTTAAAATTTTGGCATTTTGAAGTTTTTTAATATATGAATTCCTTTCATCTATAAAGTAATTGAAACCATCTGTTTCGGTTTCAACAATTACATACAATCAATTTAGAATCAGTAACATAAATTCCTGTTTGTTATATGATTTGACCCAGACCAAAATTAAGTTTAATATATAACTTGTTCCTAAGGCTTGTAACAACATTAGAAAAAATAACGTAATTTGACCATAATATATTACCAACATTAAAAATTTTGAAATTTTATCAATCAATTGATTTAACTGATCAATAATTTCACTGACAAAAAATATGAATTTGATCCAGCCGCAGTAGTAGTAACCTATACCCGCAAACTTCATAGGTTACTATATAGTAATAAATAATATATTAATATGCACATTGCTAATCCAATTAAATACTTTTTTCTATAGGCGGCAGCAGAAGGGCATTTTTCTTTTCTTTTCTTAAGTCATAATACTAGTAACTATAGTAGTAATGCAGATTATAAATATAATTATATTATTGTAATTTATAAAGGAAATAAGACCTTATTTATAATTTTATAAATAGTTAAAATCTCTTGACAATAGCAACAGCAATAATATAGGATTTGTTGCATCAAGCTGCGAATTAATATTTTTTATATTTTACAAAACGAATAAAACGAGTAATTTGAATCAAGATTGTTACATTACGAATAATTCGATTAGTATTACGAATAGAATAGAAATTTTATTTACAATATCCAATTTCAAATTCATTCATTATTATTTTAAATATAAAATTAACTCAACAAAAACCAAACAAATAAAAGGATGAGAAAATAACAAATTTTTTTTATAAAAAGATGACACTAAATTTTTTCATATATACAAAATAGATAAAATAACCAACTAAAGCACCAATTAACAATTAACGAGTCATTTCGATGAAGTATCATTCAAGCAGATTTCGACAAGGTCTTGCCAATACAAACGAGGTCAGGACTAATTTCCACACATGTACTACAAGGAAGAAGACTATCTTCGCTTTCCTCAGCTGCTTTTTCAGTATCCATAATACCTTTAAGTGTATTCATCATATCTTTTAGTGATTCATGGATATCTTCAAACGATGCCTCCTTATCATAATCTTCAGGCGCGTTATCATGACCAGAGTCAATATTATTATTGTTGTTGGTGTTGGTATTTTCAGAGTCATTATATTTGACTTCATTCCTATCAGTAACATGACTCTCCAGCATTCTTTTTTTATTTAAATTTTCATATGAATCAAAAGATTTACCTTCTTTTTGTTCATTATCAAGTTTGTGTTTCTTGTTATTAGCATCAGAAGAATGCTTTGGAGTTGGAAGAGTTAGTGAAATGGCTTTCTGTGTAATAGATGGCATGGTTTGGCTTGGAACATTGGTGGGCGTCGAGTTATTTGTAGCAGTGAAATTTAATTCTTCCTTGATGCCTTTTCTTCTATTTTCGACAAACACAAAGTATTTGTTAACATGCACTAACAAATCTTCTACAGATTTCAATGAAAGAAAATATCTACCAGGTAATTCTTTTAATTGGTCACGAATCATGTGTTTCATTATGATAAGTCTGTGTGTACCAACTTGAGATTTAGTATAATGGTAAAAGTAAGGAAGTATTTTGTCAATTTCATTGTACATTGGTTTTAATAGTTCCAATTTTTCATGAATTTTTGCTTTCTCGTCATCACTAAGATCGGGAAGTTCACGGTATGGTATTTTTTTTTCACAAGCTTTAGCATCAAGTCGTCTAATTTCTTCAATAGCAACAACAGCTTCTTCTGATTTAATATTCTGAAATGTGCCACCATTTGATGAATTATTATTATTATCTCTGTTATTATCATTATTACTACCACTATCACTACTATTACCTATTATTGACATAGAAAGACTATGATTTGATTGTTTGATGTTTGGCTGAGAGATTATCAGTGGTCGAGTTTGTTGAGGCATGGCAACATTATTTATATTACTATTATTTGTTGGTTGTTGTTGGAGTTGTTGAACAACTGTTCTTTGATTAACCTGTCTTTGTATGCGCATTGGTAAGTTGGGAGCAGGATTTATATTTGAATCAGGATTTAATTGAGGATTTAAGATTGTTCTGATATATGACGCAGGATTATTATTATTTTGTTGGTTTATAAGATTATGAGCAAAAGTATTATTATTGGCAGGTGTATTTGTAGAGTTCATAGTATTTTGGTTGTTGTTATTATTAATATTATTTGGAGAATGTACAGGGTTGGGTACTTGTCTTTGTATCAGTTGTTGTGGCTGTGATTGTGGTTGGATTAGTTGACCTTTGGCAATTTGATTTGATTGTTGTTGAGTTATAGAATTATTTGTTGCTTTAGGAGAAAATAATAATGCTGGTTGTGTAGTATTGATATTAATATTGTTAGGATGAACTAGAGATTGTGGGTGAACCATATTTGCAGATTTAATATTCTCAATCTTTTGATTAATCAATTGTAGATTGTGTTGTTGTTGTTGTGATGGTGGTGAAATAATAGGTTGAGCCAAAAGTTGTGCAGTTTCACTAGGTATGAATTTTTGATTGTTAGCCACTTGTTTGGAGTTAGAACTTAAATCATTATTATCAAATGTTTTTGGTGTTTGTTCTTTTACAAGATAAGCTTGTTGATTAGTTTTTGTCATTCTTTTTATCATTTCATTGATGCCAAGACCACCACCATTATCAACATCACCACCATTACTTGTAATCGTATCATCATCTACTTTCTGAGCATCTTCCCTTTGTTTATTTGACACATCTAATTTAATATATTCCTCTGGCGAAAGATTAATTTTAGAGGCAACAGGCTTATTAAGTTGCTGTTGCTGCTGATTTGATGTTTGTTTAGAATTAGGAGATTGGTGAAGAAGTTGAGGTGAAACATTTTGTTGCGTTGATAGATGTCCTAATTGAGAATGAACAACAGTAGTAGGTGGTCTTTGTATAAGAATCTGTTGCAGCAAAGGATTTTGTTGAAGTCTTAATAATTGCTGATAATAAACCATTTGTTGTGGAGTCAAAGAATCTGGTCGTGTTTGATAAGCTTTTTGTAGAATTTGTTGATTTTTAAATACTTGAGCAACTTGTTGTTCAACAGTTGGAAGAACAGGTTGTGATTGAATCTGAACAGATTTTTGTTGCTGAAGAAGTTGAGCTAAACTTTGTTGCTGTGGTAGTTGTTGTAATTGTGGATTTTGTTGTTGCTGTTGCTGTTGTTGCAATAATTGATGTTGTTGCTGTAACATTTGTCGTTGTTGTAATTGTAAGTTAGGTTGTGATTGCTGTTGTAAATATAATTGTTGTTGTTGCTGTTGTTGCATGATAATAATTTGATTTTGTTGTTGTTTTTCTTGAATTTGTTTGTTTAAGCTTTTCAATCTTTCACTATTGAAGTGCTCATAACTTTCTTTAGAAGTAGCTTTTTCAAAAGCTTCAATTTCCCATTTCCTGACTAATTCTAATAAACGTTGATCATGAGTTGGATTTTTATTAAAGATTTCCAAAGCCTTGTAAAAACGCAAAACATTTTGTTTGCGCTCTTCCTCTTTCAAAGAATGGCGCCAATTATTGTTGTTGTTGTCATTGTTGTTATTAATCTTATTAATGTTATTGTTAAATGAAGACATTTTCGAAATTATATTATTGTATATTTGTTTTGATTTCAGATTTTTCACAGATAAATAAAAAAAAATAAAATTTTTTTACATTATTTCCAAATAGAGACACTTAAAATGTGATATTAAGTGACAGTGTTCGTGGCGTTGTAAAGATAAATTTAAAATTGAAATAATTAATATAGAATTTATCATTCACTTCTTTTAGAAAAATTACAAGGAAACAATGAAAAGACAATATCAGGTTTAGTGAATAATTTATTTTAAAATTTTCAAAGAATTAATTAGACTATTGATATATTGGAAAAAAAGTCTTGGCAAATTAAATGTTGGACTCGCTCGGTTAAAAAAAAAAAGACAAATTTAAATTATTTGTCATTTTTTAGAAGTTTTACAATTTTGTAATTGATTCCAAAGTTTAATTATGATTTAAAGATTGGAGAGTTCCTTCGCCTGTCAATAACGATGGGATTTAGAGTTATTTTTATAAATAATTGTTAATGTAATAAATTACTTGTCAGTTGACACCACGATCAAGATTATATGTGTGCATCAAAACACTACTATTGTTGTTAATATCGAAATTCAATATTTAATGATATAAATTTAACCCTAAAAATTTTAATAAGATTTTGTATCTTTTTAACAAATCACCAATTCTTCATGCCATTGTTCATTCGTTAATGATGTTTTCTTTCTACTATAATAATCATTAATAGAAAACATTTTATTCATAATAACATTTCTTCTAAATTTCCATTATAAAGCTGCTTGGTTATCAATATCTCTATAAGATTCTCTCGATATTGAATTTCATTCATTATCATTAAATATACTTGAATTATTACTAGAGTAATTTTTGGTTTCAGACATAATGGTGATCTGTCAAAGAAAGGATTCGTTGCATCGTCACGATGGATTTACATAATAATAATTGAACAACGATAATCATCACAATCATCATTATTTGTTACTTAATTCGGTAATTGTTGTTATTGAAAAATCTTGAAAAATTTTTTTTTAATTATTTATTATTATTTATTTTTATGTAACTTGCTGTGGAGCCTTTAACCGATCTTTTTTCAACATATACACCTAGCAACATATTTACCAATGTCAACGAATTCCATAAAGATATTTACGGGTAATTCACATATTGATCTTGCAAAACTTGTAGCGCGGTAAGAATGTAACTTTTTCTTTTTAAAAAAATTTTATATATAAAAATAAACTTTGGTTGAAAATAAATTCTTTATATAAATAATAATAATAATAGTCGAATAGGTATAGATCTTTCAAAAGTAATAGTGGTAAAATATTCTAACCAAGAAACCTCAGTTATCGTTGGTGAATCAGTTCGTGATGAAGATGTTTTCATTATTCAATCTGGATGCGGAGAAATCAATGATAATTTAATGGAACTTTTGATCATGATCAATGCTTGTAAGTCGGCATCTGCAAGAAGAATAACGGCAGTGATTCCTTGCTTTCCTTATGCTAGACAAGACAAAAAAGACAAATCAAGAGCACCTATCTCTGCAAAATTAGTTGCAAATATGTTAACAGTTGCTGGTGCTAATCATGTAATCACAATGGATTTGCATGCAAGCCAGATTCAAGGTTTCTTCAATATTCCTGTAGATAATTTATATTGTGAACCCTCCATGCTTAAATATATTAGCACTAATATTCCTGATTATAAAAATGCTATTATTGTTTCACCCGATGCCGGTGGTGCAAAAAGGTAATTTATACAGATATTTTTAAAAAATATAAAATCATTACATATATTTACTTACATTTAAAATTATTTCTTTGGAATAGAGCAACTTCAATGGCAGATCGCTTGAATTTGGATTTTGCTTTAATTCATAAAGAAAGAAAAAAAGCCAATGAAGTTTCAAGAATGGTATTAGTTGGTGATGTTAAAGGTAAAATAGCAATTTTGGTTGATGATATGGCTGATACTTGTGGTACGTTGGCTTTAGCTGCTAAAACTTTAAAAGAAAATGGTGCAATAAAAGTCTATGCAATTGTTGCACATGGTATTTTGTCTGGTAAAGCAATTGATGTTATCAATGAAAGTTGTTTAGAAAGATTGGTTGTAACAAATACCATACCTCATGATGACAAGAAAGCTATTTGTTCAAAAATTGACACAATCAATATTTCTTCCACTTTATCTGAAGGTGATTTTTTTTTGTTTATAGATTGGTTTGATTTAAATATAATAATTATAATTATTAACATGCTTTTTTTTTAAAAAAAAAGCCATTCGACGTACACATAATGGTGAATCAGTTTCATTTTTATTTTCTTATGCTCCAGAATAAGGCAAATAGAATATATTAATAATAATAATAATAATAATAATAATAAATATTACTATTACTACTAATCTAACAATAATAATCTATTTGAAATGTAATATATATTATATATCAATCTAATATGAAAATGGTTTAAATTTACACATACTATCATTTATTTGCCTCATTCATTCATTCATTCGTTTCTTTATTGTTATTGTCATTGGAAAGTAGATCCCTTGTCAAAATATTGATCTGTTAATTGACTAGCTAATTTACGTAAATTTTGATCTTCTGATGTAGTAACACTTTCTAATCCATCTATTCCGTCTATAAATTTGATTAATAAGGGGTTTTTCCCTAAATAGATAAAAAAAATACGCCAATAATGGTATATGACTATGATTTGATTTTTAACTGAAAGTAATCCAACATATTTGTCATCCTAAAAAAAATAAATCGACATCTTGAGGTGATAAAACCCTACAAGAAAAATCAACAACTATCTGATCAATTCAATTAATTGGCTAATCGATTTATTTGCCTGATAACAATTCTTATGTGGCCATTAAATACTATATTCAATAAACAATAAACTGCCTAAAAATTTTTTAATTATCAAATTGGAATAATCCCCACTTTAATATTAACTAAAATTTCAGGTTGATTACAATCAAATAAAATAATATTGCTATAATAAATTATCTGCGAATGCTTTGAATATATTCCAACAGCATTGATAAAAAATCGGTTTGTTGAATTAAATTGACAGCATGTTCATCTGGAATGTTCTTATCAATGGTAATGTCAACGGTCCTTGATTTAATAAAGGTACTAAATGTTTAAACTTTTTCTTTGTATATAAGAGTGTAAATGGATGGCAAAAATAAAAATTATAATAAAAATATTTAAAATATAATTAAAAGTGATGTTAATCCTTCCTTCAATAATTGTTCAATGTATTTATAACCATCACAAGTTAAATATGTCACACCAAGCAACTTCTGAAAATACTTTACTCATCTTAGCTATTCCTATTATATTTTCACCTTCCATGGTGTATATATAATATACTTAGCTAGATTTCGGTATTGCATTGTTAGATTTGCGAGACATATCTGTGTAAATGAGGTATTATATCAAAGTATAGACGTTCAATTTTTTTTCTCCCAAAAGTGATCAGTGCGAAGAATCAAAACGCGCACGTAACTAAAATTTCGACAACAGAAATTATATAACTTCGGAAACAGGGAAAAATCAAGTAGTAACTCATGTGACTTCGAAAACTGAGGCGAGTACTCCAGCTAAGGTAGATGTATTAACCAAACTTTACTTTCAAAACAATGGCATTTACGTGCCAGTCTCTGATTCTCCATATTGTTTAAGTGAATCCGTCATAACTCCTACCCTTAATTCTTCAAGTTTTAGCTCGAGTTTCTCTGACGAGTGTAATGTACTCTGATAACAAAGATTCGCCGGGATATTGTTGGGATATAAGTTGCGGAAAATTTTATAAAGAATCTATTATATTCTGATCGTTAATATGGTTTACTTTATAATGTGTCCTTATCTAAGAAGACAGCTCAACTATTTATTTTTATAGTTGTGATGAATAAAGCTGATTCTGGTGATCGATTACGCATATATATTTTTCATGTGATGTGAAAGGGTCGGATAATGAAGATTTATAATGATAAATATTATCTAAGTTGTGCAAGCAATAAATTCAAGTTCACATGATCATAGAGTAACTGAATTCCTCCGATAGATAGGGCTAATCAAAAGATCAGTCATGTAAATTGTAAAGTTGATGCCCAAGTATAATAGTTATGTTCTGAACTGTTTTTCTTTTCATGAATACCATAATCCAGAAACCGAAGCCGAAAAAAATCTTGTCGTTGATCGAATTATTTATTAGCTGATTAGTCAGATCAATCTGTGTGATAATTTCTCGAATATATTAATATATTAAGATATATATATATACACACCCCAGCTCCAAAACCATGTCTAATGTTACAAGTTCCTCTGAAAGTGTTTCTACATATAATCTCTCTAATCTCCCAACAGCTGAAGTAGTGAAAGGATGGAGTCGAGATAATGTTAAAGAATTTTTACAAAAGAACAGAGCTGAATTAGAACTTGAAGAAAATGATATTAGTGTGATATATAATCAGAGGGTCACTGGTAAAGCCTTCCTTCGTTTAAACAGAGAAGAACTTACTCATGAATTTGACCCGTTCAAACTGCCATATGGACCGGCTTCAGCAATCGCAGAATTGAGTATAAAAATTTAATCAACTTAATTTTTTTCATCTTCCCTGTCCCATTACTTATTTATTCTTGTGCTTTTCTTCCCTGCTTCTTATTGCAAAAAAACACATTCACGTTATCATAGAACCACCCGTTGATGCTAGTAAGTGAGTTGTATAAAATTAGTAACACATGACCTGGCTTGATTTTTGATAGTATCATCGACTTTTTTTTTTTGTGCAGAGAAACATCAATTCACCGAGTCAAATAAAGCAAAAATTGGATAAGCTCTTGCAATGTGTGAAGTGAGTCTTGGAATCCCATAACTAATGACTTTTCAAATTATTGCTTTTTACTCACATCACTTATCAGACCCATTTTTTGAGAGCATTTGTAATGTAGTAAGAGATAGAAGGACCAATTACGTCAAATGCAAATAGACCAAGACCAACGAAATGATATTATTATTAACATGATGAAAAGCTTGCAGTGATGTGAGAAGAAAGCAATTTTTGTGAAAAAATCATACAAGTTCCTTTACAACCAATTGAAGAAGAAATCAAGTGGCAAAGGGCAGTTTAACAAAATTCCTCGTCACTGGCACATCAGATAGTGGAAAATCATGTTTCTTGATTTACGTTTTAATACAACTTTTATGTGAGAATGCTACTGTTATTTTTCAGCCTTTCAATGATGGGTGCTTCTACTGCTTCAAGAATTTAACAATGACAAGAGGAAAATATTATGAATTCTCATATTGACTCAACAAATTTACTACATGGTATCTGGTAGATGGTATCATATCTCCAAAATTAGTTCAGACAAAGACAGTAGTTCCCCTATCACAAATGGAATCAGGACAAAGGAATTCAGGAATTTGAAAGAATTATTTGAAGAAATATTATATGGATCCATGACATTAGTGGAGTTATTATCTTGTCAGAGGCTTGTTTTTCCACTGGTTCCAGAAGAAACAGTGGCTAGTATTTTACACAAAACAGATGGTGTGCCTAGATACATACTCAAACACGTTGAGGACTCAATAAAAGATATTACTGGAGATGATTTGAAGAAGATGGAAGACTTAATGCTACAGAGAGTGAAGAAGTTGAGAACAAAGCTTTTGAATGCATTGAAACTGCTATTTTAGAAACCAATGACTTTGATAAAATTATAAGATGAAGATAAAAAACAATGTGTTAAATAAGCAATTGCGTTATCCATAGATGGCCAGATAAAGCATATTGTAATTATCACTACAAATGTGAAATGGGCCTCTCCCTATGTATTAGATAGAAACTAGAGAGAAAGGCATGGGATGATTGTTTGGATAAAATAAAGCTATGAGAGTTCCTTATTTGGCCAGTGCAAAGAGATTTGTTTGAGTGTTATGTAATTCACCTATTTTGTATTGGAGACCAGAAATTTGAAATAAGGAGTTGGAAGGTGAATGCAAAGATCAATTTTCCATACATAGTAAGCCAAAAGTTGAGTATACAAAAAATGTATCTGATATCTCAAAGTATAATGATGAAAATACAACAATTATTGTGCCAGATAAACAAAATTTCAGTGCATAAAAAATTCATTATGATTTTTTTTACGTTTTGTATTAATCCTCCGTGAGTATTTGATCAATAATTATGAACATTTATATATATACATTTGAGAACAAATGAAACAACATTTTCTAAGTTCCCAAGATGTGTTAAAACATTGTATCTTAAAATAGCTCTAAGTGCTACTTTTTCAAAAAAT